TTCCTGCTTTCTTTCTCTTTTCTCCTTTCAGCGTGCACGTACATTTATGCCATCTGTTAGCAGGCATACGAACATGCACAAATTCCGATCCCACGACGACCATGAAAACCATGAAAACGTGAATTTTTCACTGTCAAAACGTTATTATCAAATATTTCCAATTAGAGGACACAAACACAAAAACCGCAATAATACTTTTTTTAAATGTTTTTGTTCTCAATCGATTGAGATGAAAAAGAAGTCGATTGATTCAATCATTAATAGAATATAAATATTTCATATTTCCGCAACTGTCAAAATTACTCATTTTCGCGTAATAGAGGCACGTAATAGAGCTACTTTGATAAGTAGCTTATGTATATTAATTATAGTTTCTGATTAGAATCGATGCATCTTTTTTTCGATTTCTACTGAAAAGCGTGAAAGTAGATTACATTATTTCCCCGAATTTGATCCATTTCTCCTAATCGTTTGATTAAAAACGAATGTTACTTAGTGATCATCCGACATACACACACATCACTACTACATATGCATTACCGGTTTACGTGAAAAATTAGATTTGGCGTATCGGAAATAGCGCAAAATGCGTTAAATAACCTTGATAAGAAAACATTTACAAAATTATGTGACGAAATCTTGCATCAAAATTGTAATTTGCAATAAAGATATATTTTAGAAAATAGATGTAAAAACATTGATCTTTTATAAAATATTTGTAGTTGTTTGCAAAATTACTTTCCAAATACTATTTTTCGGCAAGAAGAAATTGTCCAATAATTGAGAAAACAATTTCAGCTATGTGATGTTTAAAATATGTAGAAATATAATTGCATATAAAGAAATCAACTTAATTCATGTATATACTTATGAAAATGCATAACAATTTTTTTGCAACTTTTGACAAAATATTATTTACAAAATTTTATTTCGACAAAACTGTTGCGGCAAATCTTAGTGCAATCATTGCATTGTTATTCATAATGCCATTTTTGTGCAATATTTTCACAATTTGCCTATTAGGGTAACTAGACGGATTTGCGTATAATATATTGCTTATAGTAGGGTAGACAATTTGATTTGCTGATGTAGTGGGGCGCAAGTTACGCTTACGCAACTTACGCCGCATGTAAAGGCAGCCTTATTGGCGGCAACTTTTTAATTATTATTTATTCTCAGTGTACCCACTGATGAAGATCCCACCCGAGGATCAAAACGTTTGGTGCCCAATTTTGTTGTAATTAATAAGAAAAAATATATTTATACATTACTATTCAGTATATATATTGGTTTGTTCTGCCTTTCTACTATTTATTTGAAAATTTCACGAGCATATCTTTGTTTATTTATCCTGCTAAAGGTTTCAACACAAATCTTTTTTTGGAATAAATAAAAAATTATAAAGAAAAATAGTTAAATATTAATATTAATTTATATAAACTGATTTAATTTGTTGAAATTTTTTTACAGGAAGATGTCGTGGGTGCACGAGTAGAAGCCATGCTCTCGCCGAGAAATTCGTTGTTGCTTCCGAGAAGATTTTATTCTGATGAAGAGATGCGGCCAAGTATTTCTAATCCGTCAGACATGGGTTTGAAGAACTTGACAAAACATATTAACGGCCTAAAAAAAAAAATTAAAAAGTATGAAGACGAGTTTGAGGAGAATTTTGGCTATCGACCGAGTCACTGCGACAAAATGAGTAATCGCGACATCAAGCGGCTGTGTACAGAATTGAGTAAGCTACGAAAGGAACACAAAATGCTGAAAGAAGATCCAGTAGGTACGCTCTTGGCTAACGCCAATAATCGACTGAACACTGCCGACAATCCCATAAACAACAATAACAGCCATGAAAAGTCCCGATCGACATCAATGGAGGAAATGATGAAGGAAGTTGAAAAAAAACTCAGTGAGAAACGGATAAAATATAATCGATCCGATAATATGGAAGAACTCAGCTATGAGCAATTGTTGGACGAGAAAACGGCCGTACAGAAAGCTCTGCTTCATATCGAGAACACTTTTGGCAGACCAGTTTCCAAGGAAGATAGAGCAGTCGTTCGACCATTGTATGATCGGTACAGAACATTGAAGAGATTGCTAATTAGAGCAGGCGCGGTAAGAACTATAAACTGTTGTTGCTTAAATATGCTTTCAATGTGTTAAATAACCATGATAAACAAGATATTATTCTGTAGATCAAAAACAAGGATAGTGTTTCGGAACTAGCTACGATTTTGGAGCATGAAACGATGGATTTTACATCATCAAGTTTGCCAAGCAATTCTGTCGACTTCGACAGGAGAGCAAGCGAGCCCGACATGTCTCACCGAGGTATTTTGGATTGTATCGATTCCATGGATCAATTACCGACCGATAGCGATAGTCAACATAGCAGTAGTGAAGGGAGTCGTGGGATTGGTGAAAGTTTGCACGCTCTTCCTCAGTAAGTTTAGATCAAGATTAGATAGAGTTTTAAAAAACATTACGTAATATTTATGTAAGAATAATAAAAATATTCTTACATAATATCTATAAAGTAAATCATAAAATTAAAAAAGTATAAGAAAAAAGGATACGAACAAAACACTAAACCCAGATAGCACATGGACGTCTTCTGTACATTCAGAGAACATCCCATATGGAAAACGGAATATCCTGTGGACATTATGTTCTAATCCCGAAAACTATTGTGAATGTTCTGAGGAGTAGCAAATGAGCACCTCATGCTATACCTAGAAATATCCTCAAGATATTAACGTGAGACGTTCTAAGAATTTTTACAGGATATGTGTAGGACATTCTCTGCAAAACATTTTATATATATAATCATATATAACTTAATATATGTAATTATTATGCAAACTCGATTCAGTTTGTTTTCTAACCGATAAACTCGATCAAAAGAAACTGGCTCAGAAAAAATTCTAAAGTGGTAGGTGGATTCAAACTCACATCAGGATCTCTATGTTTACAACCTCTGCATTCAGACCGCGAGACCACTGAACTTAATTACTAAATTCTATTTTAGAAACAACTAGGAGTTGAAAATATATCTCCAAATTCCAAATTTTAACGATATTTAAACTTAAATAAAATAATATTATTATGATTTTAATGCAATGAGAATCCGATTTTTTCGTGACTGGCAAAAATAATCCGAATTAAATCAAAATTTTTCTGATTTAACGGGGAAAAACTAAATCGATTTTAATGCAAAAGGAATCCGATTTTTTATGTAGTGAGAAAAGATCATATATTTAAATAACATACGCGGTAAATACACTTAAAATATACAATAAATAGTAATATTTTTAATAAGTCAATATAATAAGTTTGATCGAGGCAGCATAGTATGTTCAAAAAAAAAAAACGTCTAAAAGATATCCCGAAGACACTTTTTTGAAACATACAATAAGATGTCATCTGAATGTTCTCTGGATGTAGTTTGGATATGCGTGGGAAAGTTCTGTTATAAAAAAGATAGTAGCGTGTTTGTATAGCAGCAGATAAGAAAACAGCAGCGAGAGGTAAGCAGCCGGGACTGTGGATAGATCGGGGAGCGCTAATGATTATCTTTCTGATATCCAAAAAGATATATTTCTATGTCTAACTAATTACACTCTATATACAGATAAGTTCTGACAAGAACCGTTTAGTGTTATAATATTAAGTGGTTTTCTTGAGAGCCTGCGATGACGGCGGTTATGGTTGTGATCCTTTTTGCTTCGACATACTCCCGGTAGGCTGTTTGATTGCCGTAGTGAACGTTGTCGGTTGCGGGAGCGGTGGCGTCGTTTCTCGGTAGATCTGTGATCTCTGCTGCGGATCTCGCCGGTGATATCAAGTCAAGGGACTGATGATCCTTGTTCTCCCAGTCACTGCTGTCGCTCTGCGTTTCCTGCTCCTTATATTTTGGTCGAGGAGCGGGGAGCGAGACCTGATTCCCTCTGTGGACACGGAGTGGGAGCAGCGTCTGCGTAGCGTGCGTTGTAGATCGTCGGGTGAGTTGCGCGGTGGAAAGTCTCAAGGTGACGCTTCGTAGCGGTGTCTTGGTGATGTAGCGGAATCTCGATGGCTTGCCAAAGCAGCCGGGGAATGAGGACCTGCACCTCCAATTATGGAGACGGTGATCGAGAAATCCTGGCCAGAGAGATTGTAGAAGCTTCCTCGGGGTTGATCCTGACCTCCTTGTCGTCTGCCGGTGCTGGTAGTCCTGCTGCTTGGTCCTTCTTGTCTACTGTCCGGAACTTTTCGGATCGTGGCAATACGGTTTGGCGTCGCTGTTATATTGACGACGCCGCACTTTTCACTACCGTGTTACGGCTCGCGGCCGTGCGCTGCATAGCGGCGGCGCGCTTGAACTGCGCGGCCGGCTGTCGGTCGGTAATGGTGGCTGTAGTCGCCACAAGATAATAATATATTTTTTCACTATGTTACCAATTAATTCCCAGATAACATATAAATGTTCTCTGAAAAATCAAAAGACATCCAATATATATAATAGAAAAAGTAAATAGCCTGTAGACATCTAGTGATTATTTAGTGGACATTAATATTTTATTATAATACTTAATAATTTTTAATTATATTAAATATTCTACATAAATTCTAAATATAATCATGTGTGTGTGCATATTAAATCTCCATAAAATATATTTATAATGATATCTTAAAACATCCTATAACCGTCCTGAACATATTTATGTTAATCCTGAGGATGTCTTGTGCTGTCTGGGAATGTGTTAAATACGTTTATTGAACTATTATATATGTTTTGATCTAACTTTCGAATCTTCTTCAATGACAATCTTTATTAAGAGGATGCTGGACCGCCGGCGTAAGTCCGATAAGCTACTACTCAACCGCTACGTTGTCGGGTAAATGGCGCCATCTCTCGAGACCGGATCGAACTAACTACTAAACTAAACTAAACTAAACTAAAAATAGATGACATAAAAGAGACACGGGGGGGGGGGGAAGGATAAATGTATGTGTCTCGCTTCTGCTAAAATTGTACTAATCCTAGTTCCAAGATTTCTCTTCTTTTGAAACTTTCTTGAAGGCTTCAAAATCCTTATTCAAGCACTCAAAATATTCGTTTATGTTTCTAGTTTCCGATAAAAGTATTTTTATTTGGATTTGTACGGCCAATTTTGCATATAAAGCAAAAATGTAGTCTGTGTAATAACAGTCTATAAACTTTTTTTGTTTCTCTTGAATTCTTATCTAATTCTTCACTATATTCTTTTTTTTTTTTTTGGAGAAGCGTTTTTCATTCCACTTAATCAAGAGGCTCGCGCCAAATGCACGCACAACGAAGTCGTGCGCGAATGGCGCGAGGCACTTCGGCATTTATTACGCGAACTAAGTAAACTGGAAAATCGAGAAAAAAATTAACAATTTATATCTCAGAAACTACTGAACTGATCCATTTTGTTTTTATCTCAATTGATTCGGAATGAAAACTTACAGGAAAAAGTATTTTTGTGTTTTTCTTGTCTGTGGCTTTTATTCAAAAATATCGGAAGATAAAGCGAAGAAAGTGTTGAATATCACATTATGAGAAATTCGGATAAAGTTCCGAAAACCTAAAATACCCGATTTTTCTGTCGATTGGTATACTACTATTTTGGTGCGCTGATTACGAATATGATAGTAAAAATCACCAACAAGGTCATTTTCAAGGTCAAAACTAAAAAAACTCCAAAATTATCGCTTTTTAAACATTAGTTTGATAAATATTTATAGCACAAAAAAATGCTTCAAATAAAAGTTGTAGCTCTTCAAAAATACATCATTTATGTTTTCTGCATTTTTTTGCATAGAACCACTAGTTTTCGAAAAAAATAAGATAATAGGTAAGAGAGTTGTGTGCGCGTGAAAGTACGTATGGCTAGGAAGGCGCTTAGTCGGACGGTAAATATTTACAAAAGGTCACCATCCTCCGATTTGAATGAGCTTGACATATGTTGTCAAGGACACCTTCTTGAGTAACAATCAAAAGGTTTTAGTCGTCGTTTGTTCTTTATTAAAAAGTTAACAACAAAAAAATGTTTATAAATAAATTCTTATTTTTCGATTCCATGTACATTTTCTTTGTGTTGTAAGTGTTTAAGCAGGGGGGCTACGCTCCCCGCAGGGGGAGGGACTTCGCCCTCTTTCCTGCTCCCTCCGTCAAGAAAAATGAAGAATTTAATTAACAAATACGACTTCCAATTACATTCGCTTTATGTCGAAATTGCCAAAAAAGTTTCATTAATAAAGCATCGTTATCCAAACCTGTATGTTTTAGATATAATTTATTATTGTGGATTAGTGAATGCAGAAAAAATATTCTAATATAAACACAAGGTAATATACACACACACACACGCAAAACACGAAGGGGGAGCAGGGGGGAGGTGCAAAGCCTCTCCCTTTAGGGGCGTGACTCCTTCCCTTGTCTAAACACTTACAACACAAAGAAAATGTAAATAAAATCGGAAAATAAGAGTTTATTTATAAAACTTTGTTTCTTGTTAACTTTTTAATAAAGAACAAACGACGACTAAAACCTTTTGATTGTTACTCAAGAAGGTATCCTTGACTACATATGTCAAGCTCATTTAAATCAGAGAGTGGTGATCTTTTGTAAATATTTAACGTCCGACTGAGCACTTTCTTCGCCATACGTACTTTCACGCACACACAAGTCACTCTCTTACCTATTATCTTATTTTTTTCGAAAACTAGTAGTTCTACGCAAAAAATGCATACAACATAAATGATGTATTTTTTCAAGAGCTATAACTTTTATTTGAAACTTTTTTTTGTGCTATAAATATTTATCAAAATAATGTTAAAAAAGCGATAATTGTTGAGTTTTTTTGAGTGTTGATCTTGAAAATGACCTTGTCGGTGATTTTCACTATCATATTTGTAATCAGCGCACCAAAATACAGTAGTATACCAATCGACAGAAAAATTGGGTGTTTCAGGTTTTCGGAACTGTACCCAGGAATTCGTCGTCGTCGTCATCGTCGTTGATGGAATGTGTGGTATGTGTGCAGTTTCACGCGTTCCAACAACAGATGGCAATGCAAGCGTTGAAAAAACAGGAAGAGAAGCAATAAGTGATGTGAGATGTGAGATAAGAAAGAGAGACAAGAGATCGATTCGAAAGAAAAGAAGAAGAGTGGTCAATGATGAATAATTGATGTAAGATCGAGTCGACCAATATACCAAACATCCGGACACGTTGTTGCTTGTGTGCGTGTCTATTATAATATATATCCGTGTATTAGTGATATGGTACATACATGCATAAGTATAAGAATACATACAACGGTGAACGGATGAGATAGACAATTTTATAATAGTTCAGTACTGTACATACACATATGCGCTCAATTATAGACAAAAATAACCGATTGTAAAACCAATCGACTAATGCGATTCTTATAATCTTGCGCGTTCTGTGTGTGCGTACACAAGTGTACATCTGCATCTGCAGCTATTTGTTAGCTATTATTTGTGTAGCGTTTTAAGCGTTATTTTAGTATCTGTGAAATTGAAAAGATCTTAGTAGTTTCATTTGACAACTAAACCAACTCACAGATTTGATTAGACGAAGTTGTTAGATTACCGTTCGATGTAAAGCATGGACAGTCGATACTAAATAAAAGTTTACCGCATTAGCAAAAAGAAGTAAAGTTGTTTAAATAGATGTAAGTAATAGGTTTTGATAGGTTTTGAGCACAATAAATTTATTTATTTATTGTTAAATAGCTTTCGATGCAGCCGCGTCAAGTTGTTTGCATTAGTTTTTATTCTAAAAATAGTTCCACATGGGTTTTCGACTTTAGGCCGTTTTATGCTATTTTATTTTATAACAGTGTATAAACATACAAAATTTCCTTGGCGCTACTTTCTAATACTTTCATTTCTTTTGTAGACTAGATTTTGTAGAGAAAGAGTTTCTATGTAGTATAATAATATCGTAATACTTTTTTTTAGAGATACGTGTGCCGCGTGTACTTGACGCCTTTAATAAAAATTTTTTTTTTGAAAAGTAATTTTTCCGGTAGTTTTTACAAAAATGTGAAATTACGAAATGAGGATAAAACAGGACGGTCCAGCATCCTCTTAAAGAAGACATTTTAAACAGGGTGCAATCAGCGTATGGTCTGCATTGTCTGGTGGTTCTTAGAAAATTTCATCCAGATTGTTACTGAGGAAGATCCGAGAGGTGGATCAAAACGTTTGACATAATACTTAGATAAACATATTCAACACAAACATTCAATGTTTTTTCGTATTGGCTCTTTTTTCCTATATTGTTATAATATTTATATGTGAGCTTTTATGATTATATAACAAGTTTTGTGTTTTATATAAATATATTTTTACTTGCATATATTTTTACATACTTCTGTATTTTTCCTCGTAAAATGTTATAATGGGAGGGAAGTGGCCAATACGAGGCAAAAACTAGATCTTTGGATCAATAAACTTTTTTATTAAAAAATTTTTTATATAACAAACGTTTCGATCCCAAATTTTAGTCTTCTTCAGTTTCATTCGTAGCTATAAGAAGAACTTACAAAGGAAGTGACGCAAGTGTCCCTCTCCGATTTTGATGAGCTTTGAATATGTCGTAAAGTAGCTAAAAATAAGAGACCCGTATTTTTTTTTTTTATGTGCTTTCTTGCATGTTTGGGGAGTGATACACCCCTTCGAAAAAAAACCGGTTTTTTTGTTTTATGCGAGTATCATCAAAACGGTAAGAGATATAAAAAAATGTTTTAAATAAAAATTGCATAGTATTTTATAGGCTTTACAACCGCGTAGTTAAATTTATTTTTAATTCAACATTTTTTTATTTACCCCCACACGTCATTGTTTTTCAATTTTCAAAATGTTTGTAAGAAAAAATTGTAGCATTTTTTATGCTGAATTCAACCATATATGATTTTCTTATGTTTCAAAATCGCATCTCTCAGAAGTAAACCATCAATATCGTATTATATGCGTCGCGCTGCATGACTCATCATTTATATCGCGCTTTAATCGTAATAGGCGATACAAAAATTAAAGAATGAAAATAGTCACGTCGTCACGTATTGGATAAAGTTCTAATCATAGAGCAAAGAGCAAAGTTTAAAAGTGTTGCTAAGACATCCCTTCCACTGATGCTTTACACTTTTAATTTATTTAACAGAGATTAATTTTATATAATATTATATACATATAAATTAGTACTATTATTTGTAAATATAACTTTAGCTTTAACGATTTTATAAGATAATATTCAATACATTCTAATTACATACACACTCACACGTAAGAAATAAAAAGAAAGATAATTTGAAAGATAAATAAATGGAAGTGTTACAATTTAATTTATAGTGCAATTTATGTTTATTTTTCAATATTAATTAATACAAAGAATTTAAATTAATTACAGGTTCTAATCAATAGTAATAACATTCCCTTTTATGTTTATTGTGTTTTTAGGTTTTTTAATTGTAAAGTGGATGTAATGTGGGTGTGTGTGTGATAAAACAATTAAAACTCTAGTTTCAAGAACATACAACATAATATATAACTATAACATATAATATTTAACTTTTACATAATATAGTAACATAAACATATATTTAAAAGGTAACATGTATAGAAAAAACATATATTAAAAATATTAAGTGAATTTATGGATATACATAAGTATCACAAAAGTGATGCTCATGAAAGAAATGAGATTTATGCAAAGCGATTTTTTGCACCATGCGCAAGTAATTATTGCAGTTGAGCCACAAATATCACATGTCGATTTTAACTGATTTTTGAAACAATATTCTACTGGTGTTTCAAATTTTTCCAGTTTATTTTCCACCTGCTTTTATACCATGCGTATCGAAATAAATTTCTAACTCTAGGCAATGAAAACTGACCATGAGTTAATGATTGTAATTTTAAAATATTGTTTCTTGCGTGAAGATTTATTTCCAGATCCAAAAGCATTACAATATCTGAAAAGTGTTTAATGAAATTTTTCCACAAACGAAAACCATATACATCTAATAGTTGTATGTTTCCTGTTATTCCAGCCGGTATAGTTAATAGAATTTTAGTTTCTGTAGATTCTAACTTAGTTTCTTGTATAATATTTGGACAATGACCAATCCATGAATCTAATAGTAAAACGGACTTTGGTCCTACGTTTGGAAAAAATACGTTTTGCAACCAAATTTTACAATGATCTGACGTTATTTCCCGGATTTCGAAGCTTTAACAAAAATATTAGGTGCCATGAACATTGTTTCTTGCACTCTAAGACCAAATGTTCCACTAACTTCTTTCAATACAATAAAAGAGGCGATAATAACATACCATCGGCTGAAACAGTAGGTTGTATAGTATAGCTATGCGTAATTGCCGTTTTAGATTGTACTACAGACTCAATTCTTTTTGTTCCTTTATATGCTAATGTACGACCGGCATGCAATTCTAACTGGGATCCGCTTTGATCACTGTTGTAAATATTTTCTGCTCCATATTGAGTTATTTGATATTTTTCAATAAATGAATTACACTTTTCTTCAAGCTCGACGTTTGCTAGTATAGATTTTTTTGTTACAAATTTTGTTATTTTACGAGATACAATATTATGTATTACTTTGAATTTTTGTATCCAACGCATCGACGCTTTGAATCCCGGTANACACTCACACGTAAGAAATAAAAAGAAAGATAATTTGAAAGATAAATAAATGGAAGTGTTACAATTTAATTTATAGTGCAATTTATGTTTATTTTTCAATATTAATTAATACAAAGAATTTAAATTAATTACAGGTTCTAATCAATAGTAATAACATTCCCTTTTATGTTTATTGTGTTTTTAGGTTTTTTAATTGTAAAGTGGATGTAATGTGGGTGTGTGTGTGATAAAACAATTAAAACTCTAGTTTCAAGAACATACAACATAATATATAACTATAACATATAATATTTAACTTTTACATAATATAGTAACATAAACATATATTTAAAAGGTAACATGTATAGAAAAAACATATATTAAAAATATTAAGTGAATTTATGGATATACATAAGTATCACAAAAGTGATGCTCATGAAAGAAATGAGATTTATGCAAAGCGATTTTTTGCACCATGCGCAAGTAATTATTGCAGTTGAGCCACAAATATCACATGTCGATTTTAACTGATTTTTGAAACAATATTCTACTGGTGTTTCAAATTTTTCCAGTTTATTTTCCACCTGCTTTTATACCATGCGTATCGAAATAAATTTCTAACTCTAGGCAATGAAAACTGACCATGAGTTAATGATTGTAATTTTAAAATATTGTTTCTTGCGTGAAGATTTATTTCCAGATCCAAAAGCATTACAATATCTGAAAAGTGTTTAATGAAATTTTTCCACAAACGAAAACCATATACATCTAATAGTTGTATGTTTCCTGTTATTCCAGCCGGTATAGTTAATAGAATTTTAGTTTCTGTAGATTCTAACTTAGTTTCTTGTATAATATTTGGACAATGACCAATCCATGAATCTAATAGTAAAACGGACTTTGGTCCTACGTTTGGAAAAAATACGTTTTGCAACCAAATTTTACAATGATCTGACGTTATTTCCCGGATTTCGAAGCTTTAACAAAAATATTAGGTGCCATGAACATTGTTTCTTGCACTCTAAGACCAAATGTTCCACTAACTTCTTTCAATACAATAAAAGAGGCGATAATAACATACCATCGGCTGAAACAGTAGGTTGTATAGTATAGCTATGCGTAATTGCCGTTTTAGATTGTACTACAGACTCAATTCTTTTTGTTCCTTTATATGCTAATGTACGACCGGCATGCAATTCTAACTGGGATCCGCTTTGATCACTGTTGTAAATATTTTCTGCTCCATATTGAGTTATTTGATATTTTTCAATAAATGAATTACACTTTTCTTCAAGCTCGACGTTTGCTAGTATAGATTTTTTTGTTACAAATTTTGTTATTTTACGAGATACAATATTATGTATTACTTTGAATTTTTGTATCCAACGCATCGACGCTTTGAATCCCGGTACATTTAAATCTTCCTGTGCTTGAACAGCCCATCGAGCTAAATCAATGTCGTGAATAATTATTCCTTTTTCAAGAGCTATATTAAAATTATTTAATATATATTCTGAAATTTGTTTTAAGTTGTGGTATCTACTGCCACCTTCATTACTTGAATTTCCCATCGTCGCAATTGACGTAATGAAGATACTTTCCGAAATCTTCGTTTAACGTCTTTCAATGTCCTTGGTCCAATTTTTCCACTTTTCCAATATTCCACTGCTTGTATTCTGTATTTATGCGGAATATGTTCATTTTTGGTACATACAAATTTAGGAGTTAGTATAAATTCTTCATCTTCGTGCTCTACTTGTTCTGCTTCTGAAATATCATTATCATTGTCATAATCCAAAGATATTTCCTTTTTTATGTCACATCTTTCATCGCATTTTTTGCAACATCACCTCTATTTTACGTGCCGTTTCTCGTTCTTCTGACGTTATTGGACTTGTAGGTAAATTCAAAGCAGTAAAAGTCACGTAAAGCAACATTATGACATTATATGGATTAAATTGAACCATTCTGAAAAATATAAATAAATACTGAATATTGTTTTATTTGTGTACAAGAAGAATAATACTTACTCTATAGTTTAGTAAATTTACTTGTGTTATTTTTTGTGTTCATTAATTTATGAATTATTACTATTATGTTGCAGCTTTGTAATTTGAAAGATACATATATTTGTATATTTGTCAAGTCAAATATCTTGGATATAATCAAATCAATAGTCAGAATTTACTCACTATTTTGTACTCACTATTATCTTCTTATATATTATTTTTCCACAGTCACTATATAATAAACCAAACTTCCAAGCGTAATATACGATAGCTAACTTGAATATGACGCGCTGCGAACGATGGTTATTAATATAAGCCATTCTACAATGAATCATAGCAACAGATGACAACTAGAGAAACAGTGCTATTGGGCGTTGAGCAACTGGCGACGGAACATTTACAACTCATTATAGAATAAGTAAAATATAACGCATCAGTGGAAGGGATGTGTCTTAGCAACGCTTTTAAACTTTGCTCTTTGCTCTATGATTAGAACTTTATCCAATACGTGACGACGTGACTATTTTCATTCTTTAATTTTTGTATCGCCTATTACGATTAAAGCGCGATATAAATGATGAGTCATGCAGCGCGACGCATATAATACGATATTGATGGTTTACTTCTGAGAGATGCGATTTTGAAACATAAGAAAATCATATATGGTTGAATTCAGCATAAAAAATGCTACAATTTTTTCTTACAAACATTTTGAAAATTGAAAAACAATGACGTGTGGGGGTAAATAAAAAAATGTTGAATTAAAAATAAATTTAACTACGCGGTTGTAAAGCCTATAAAATACTATGCAATTTTTATTTAAAACATTTTTTTATATCTCTTACCGTTTTGATGATACTCGCATAAAACAAAAAAACCGGTTTTTTTTCGAAGGGGTGTATCACTCCCCAAACGTGCAAGAAAGCACATAAAAAAAAAAAAATACGGGTCTCTTATTTTTAGCTACTTTACGACATATTCAAAGCTCATCAAAATCGGAGAGGGACACTTGCGTCACTTCCTTTGTAAGTTCTTCCTATAGCTACAAATGAACTGAAGAAGACCAAAATTTGGGATGGAAACGTTTGTTATATAAAAAATTTTTTAATAAAGAAGTTTATTGATCCAAAGATCTAGTTTTTGCCTCGTATTGGCCACTTCCCTCCCATTATATTTTTACATACACTCTGTTAATCTTATATTTCTTATGGTTTTTATTTCTACTTATTTTAGAGAGGAATTATTGATGCAGCAACGAGCTACTCGAGAAGAAAAGAAGCGACTCCGCAGAGCGTTAAAGGAATTAGAAGCACAGTTTGAAGCCCGTGCCGGTCGTCGTATGCAACGCGAAGATCGCGGGCCACAAGTCATCATCGTATACGAATCCTACAAGCAAGCAAAGGCGAAATTGAGACTCATCGACGCTCTCATAGCAAAGAAGGCTTGACGCAATATTTAATGCATAACGAATAGCTGATTTGAAACAATGCCGTCGAAACTGTCGACCAAGATGTGGATGTCCAGAACTGGACATATTTGCACATCACAGATACAGTACATTCAGTACATTCAGTAGTTGTATCTGCAATATCACATCATAAAGTTACGATCAAAAGGCCTGAACAAACAGAGCATCTATTGAAGCGATATTTAATATAACAAGAATTTATCGTCCAAAATAAAAAAAGATTTTGAAAGCAAAAATCATGGAAGTAGATGATGATTATAAGCATAAAACTTATATTTTGCTTTTGTATGTTTGTGAGTACCAATCTAGATCGATCTTGTTTTATTTTGAAAAAAATTCCGTGACGACATTCAGAAAATAATACGAAATGTTTTTGATATTAGTGCCTATTAGGCCCTGCACACAATAAGAAAACATTAGGAATAGGAATAAATATTTAATATTAAAAATAAGAAATTATAATTATTTCTTTACAAAACAAGAAAATAGAATAAAGTAATGCATCATAAATTAAAACATAAAAATGTGGAATAATTAATCTATTCCGTTCTCTTGTTTGATGTAACATTATTTCAAATTCCTTTTTCTAATTTTTTCTCTATTGTGCGCAGGACCTTACAAGATATTTGCTTTAAACAATAGAATATGTTGAAAATATACATAAATTAATGATTTTATAGTGCGCAATAGAATAAAAACACGTCTACAAAGTAAAAAGAAAATATCGAAGCACACTCGAGATCTTTAACTACTTACAAATTTTAAGAAAAGAATAATTATCATAATACAGACATACAGGGTGACAATTGGTGTAACATCTCTCCTAGGCAGGTAGAAGGAATAAAACTGAATCAAAAAGTCTTACCATTTTGCAGGATTTGCAATAATTACCGAGATCTTAATTAACAAAGATCCGCGAAGCATACATTAGGCGCGCTTCGTGCATTTACGGTGTTATCTGTAGCAATGTATGGAAAGAACTAATATAACAGCATATACTGGCTGCGTTCGGGGAGCGCACTATCTGCGCTATTGCATCATTTTATCTTTATCACTCACTTAGATAAAAAACAAAGATAGCTATTATAACATATACATGATAAAAGTTAACCACGCGAAGCGCTCCGGGCTACGCGCGTAAGAGAGCCCGATGCATGCTTATTCGCGGATTTATTAATTATGATCTCAGTAACTATTGCAAATCTCACAAAATGATATACAACTTTTCGACTCAGTTTTACTCCTCCTACCTGCCTACAAGAAATGTTAAAGTAATTGTCGGACACTCTGTATATATGTATATATTAATATCATGACAATGTGACTGCGCTGTGAAATAATTGTTTGTATGAATATTATTTACTGGTACATACACTATATTTAATATTGGTTTATTTGCTAAAAAACTTTTTCTCTACTCAATTCGTTCATTGTCATTCATTTAGTTATTTGTACATAAAATTAAAAACTACAGTATTTAGCATAAAGCATGCTTTAATTAAGTTACTATTCATAAACTTTCTATTGATTAGTTACATATGATATAAAAAATATACGTATATTTTTATACATTTTTTGTTGCAAAAAGACTTGTAATCTTTGTTTGTATTTTATGTGTCAAATTTTATAGTGATACATAATTTTATAGTGATCTATAGTGACGCAGGAACATAAATATTAAACAAACAATATTTGAGTTTAAAAATTAACTCCTGATCATGAATTGCTAGAGAAATTACAAATTAAAAGTTTTGTGTAATACAATTTACGAGAAATATATTAAATATCTTTTTTATAAAGTTTTAAAAAGTCCTAGGAACCTTACGCTAGATGTTTATTGCGTAATAACTAAATATATATGAAAAACTCTACCGTAGTTTTAACTTTTATGAAAATTTATTTTTTTCCAAATGTGCAACACGTACATTTTATATTGACTAACATGATCTGAAATAGATTAAAACACCAATCTACACGCGTTAATAGTTTTAAGTAAAATGACGCAAAGTTTACATGATTGAAATCGACTTAATTTCTTTCCAGTTTTACATTGAAATCATGTTTAAATTACGCACTCTTAACGTCATAACTAATAAACTTAAGATTAAAAATTGTAGCCATATGGATTTCGTGGAAAGTTATGATATAAGAAATAGTTTACAGTTAATATGGACTGAAACAAGTTTTTCTCGGAATATGTGCTAAAGTGATTTGTGGATTCTTCAATGAATTTATGCTTTTGAAAGCAATCTTTGATACCCTGGTGTGTGTTTCATTTTTGAGACACAATTTCCAACAACGTCTTAAATTTTTTGTTTTTGTGTTTGCTACTTCAGTAACTCAGTCAGTTAACTTAACGGCGCATATGTAATGTTATTAACTTTACACAAATTAATATTTTGCAAAAATGCAAAGACAAATTTTTCAGCAGCCACTATTTTTTACGGTTACATGGCACATAATCGACTTCCAGGAAAAAGATGTATGAATGCAAGAACTAACTTTTCCATTTATTACAAAAGTGGATAAATGTAACTTCCGAATAAAGGAGTCTCCTCCGATTGTTTTGACTTTGACATATAATGATCATTCACCGGAGCACGTTCCACAAAATTTTATCCTTTGCTCATTTTATTATTAAAAAGTTATTATTAAAAAGTTATACACAAAAAAAGTTTCATAAGTAAAACCTCGTTTCTCCACATCGTGTACATTTGAGAAGTAAATATTTTGTTCATATCATACACTATCATACACATATAAGCAGGAGAATGTCATAACTTATTTGTCTGTTTCCCCTCTCTTAAATAATCTAACTAATCCCTGCGATAATAATGTACATTGACAATCAATGCGCATCGTGGATGTAGAACTTCGCTTCGCGTGGAAAATGTACGCGTTGAGCAGGCTTCTTTACAGGGGACTCATTATCAAGTAACAAAATGGGCTATTTGATAAAACCCCTGCAAGAGGAGCCCACTTCCTCGTATTGCATGAAAAGTGAACTCGTGGAGGCGGTTCCTCTGCAAAGCGAGCTTCACTATCAACTAGCCTATTTGTTACTTGATGATGAGCCTCCCCGAAGATAGGGCCTGCTCAACGCGTATACTTTCCACGCAAAGCGAGGTTCAATGCAACTTATGTGTTTAGTTTTTTACGACACATATACGATAATGTATAGAACTACATAACACACTGCTCGAGCAAACCCGGTAAAAAATTTTTCATGTATACAATTGTATGGACATATTTGGTATATAAATTTTCATAATTAGATATAATTATTTTAATTTGCGTATGAGTATATATGATTATATATCAAAAATTGTTTTAAAATATAGTAAAAATTAGTTTTATATAATTTTTTTGTATCTAACATGATACTAATAGTTATTTTGTAATTTGATATGAAATATCTCTGAAGTCATTTTCTTAAAAAAAGAAATTCTCTGTGTATAAAATTGTATGGACATATTCGGCATATAAATTTGCATAATTAGATATAATTATTTTAATTTGTGTATAAGTATATATGAAAAAGTTTTTACCGGGAAACCACCAAAACAAAACAGTGAGCTTTGTGTTGTATGCTAAATGTATTTGTGTGCAACACATACATATATTAGAAAAATATATACTTATACATTTATTTGTGAAACACATACGGTGTCAGAAAACGATAATTTACTGATAAAAATTTTTTTGTTTACAACTTTTTAATAAACAACAAATGACGGCTAAGACGTTTTTATTTTTACTCAGGATGATAATTTTTATAATATATGTCAAGGTCAAAGCAATCGAAAAGGGCTCTCCTATTCGGTACATTTACCCAAAAGTGTTATATAACACGGCGCAGGTACAAAGAGACGAAATAAATTGTAAGATTTTTTTATATTTTTACCGACTTAGTGTACTTTTAAACTCCAGCAATAATACAAACGCCCTGTATTCTTATACATAGTTATTTTCAAAAAATATACAAAGAAAAAATACGTTTTGTGCATATAAAAAACAACTTAGATTTATCAGTATTGGAAGTCCATCAAAAGTTAAAATTACGGTAGATTACCCATATATATATATATATACTCGTTATATATGTATATATGTTAGCGTCAAAGTCCGAAGTCCCAGCAATCTTAGAATTGATTAGTCAATATCCGAAGTAACCAAGCGTTTTGGGCTAAGTCCAAAACAGTCTTTTTTCGGGTTTTGACTGTTGTGTTTTTAGTCAATCTCAGGAGTAACCAACACGATTGGTCAAAGTTGAAAACTCTGTGAAAACTTTGTTTTATCACTTCGAATTTTGACTGATCAATCTCAGATGGGCACAAAATAAATCGGAAGATGTGTCAATCAGACTCAATCGGATAGACAAATATTAAAACAAGACTAAAGGTGCGATCCCATGCACTGTTATTTACCGTGTAACGCGTAACGCGTAAAAACTAAAATATAGAACATATTAAACACGTAATCTCTTTGATTAGTTACGCGTTACGCGTTACGCAAAAAATAACAGTGCATGGGATCGCATCCTAATTTTTTCATGTTCTTTTTGTTGGTGTTGTAAGCACGTAGGCAGAGGGGCTGCGCCCCTCCTGCATCCCCCCCCCTAAAATCTAACCTACCTCTAACCTGTGTTACTATAATATCAATAGAAATCAGTGAAAATTTTGCGAGGGGGAGTGCAGAAAGAAGAGTTTAGATTAGGATTAGGTTAGAATTTAGGGAGGTACAGGCGCAGCCCCCCTGCCTACACGTTTACTACACCAACAAAAAGAACATGAAAGAGTTAGTCTTGTTTTAATACTATCCAGCAAACACAAAGTAACAGTTACGTAACATTAATGTTACAATTTCCCACTCAACAATGTAACTGCTACGTACAAGACATGTTACATTGGAGTTACATCATTGAGTGGGAAATTATAACATTAATCTTACGTTACTGTTACTTTGTGTTTGCTGGGTAGTCTATCCTATTGAGTCTGATTGATGCATCCTCCGATCTATTGTACCTATTGTACATGTAATGTATAGTACAAATAAATGCGCAAAACGGTACGCAGCTTAAGGTTTGATTCTTTAGATTTTAACTTTGACCAGCCGTGTTAGTTACTCCTGAGATTGACTAAAAACACAACAGTCAAAACCCGAAAAAAAAGACTGTTTTGGACTTTGCCTAAAACGCTTGGTTACTTCGGTAATTACCGAAATGACAATTGACTAGTCAATCCTAAGATTGCCGGGACTTCGGACTTTGACGCTAACATATATATAACATTAGTTGAGGGAGAAAACGGAGATACCTTATACGTGATGCAAGTACAGCATCCTATATAAATTTAGAAATATATACAAATATTTTATATTATACTTTACGTGTAAATTTTTACACATAATTTTGAAACGAAATTTCAATTTCTAAATTTATACGGTGGATTTACCTATATATATATATACCCTGATAGGAAAACATTTACAAAATTATGTGACGAAATCTTGCACTAAAATTATCTATATATATATATATATAGGTAACAAAATTTCAATTTCTATATATGTATTCTATATATATTCTATACATATTCTATATGTATTATGTATTCTATATATGTATGTACATAGAAATTGAAATTTTGTTTCAAATTATATATAATATATACATACATAGAATACATATATAGAATACATATATATGGGTAAATTCACCGTATAAATTTAGAAATTGAAATTTTGTTTTAAATTCATGTGTAAAAATTTACACGTAAAATATAATATAAAATATATATATGTATATTTCTAAATTTATATAGGATGCTGTACTTGCATCACGTATATGAGGTATCCCCGTTTTCTCCCTCAACTAATTTTAAAATATTGCGAAAAAGCGAGAATTCTTTACATATGATGCAAGTGCAGAATTCTATATGAATTTAGAAACTAAAATTTTGTTTCAAATTTATGTGTAAAAATTCACACGTGAAGTATAATATAAAATATAGGGTAAGTCGAGGAGAGATGGACCACTTTTTTTAAATCGAATTACGTAATAAATCATAGGGCAAATGAAACATCATTTATCCATCGGATGTCTAAATTTGAGTCTTATTTAGTCAAAACGTCCATGAATATTATATGTGTGTTTTCTTAATCTACCTTATTAGACGTATAAAGTGTATTTATATTTGAATATTTTAAAAATGTTCATCTTATTAAGCCATTTTGTTTTGATATACATGCTGCGCAATATTCTTCAGTTTTGTAGAACTAAATCCGAATTAATTTGATGGCGCAGTAGTTGAGCATAATGTTAATGATTGTACTAATTCTTTGTGATTTATATTTTTTTATTTCTTATTGTTTAAATTTTATTATTATTTTACAACAATTTTCTATTTGTTTATATTTTAAAGTTATTACAATTATAAGAATAAATAATTAAAAACCGACATATAATTAAAAGATAAAATCCGACCTATTATTTAATATTTCAACATTGTTTTATTGAAAATAAAAAAACTGTGAAAAAATGAAAAATTAGTGTAAAATAATAGCAAATTCAAATAAAAAGAAAAACTAAAGAGAAAAACAAAAACCATGACAAGACTCAAACTCGCGTGGCAAGCGCGTGACAATTAATCTCACGCTCTACTTGTTCAGCAAATTGACATATGTATGTAGCTGTATTACCTACTTTAAATTTGTTTTTAATTTCTTTAAGGAAGTTAACGTACTAATTAGAGAAGAACAAAGAACGGTGATCAACGGATCAGATTGATTACAAGAAAAAATGATATCTCTAAACATTCGGCAATATATTAAGTTTTTTAACACAAATACATGATTAGAGATATCATTCTTTCTTGTAATTGAGGTGATCAGTCCGACTTGCTTAGTGCCGTGATCTTGTTCTCTCCTGCACTTAAATATGTTACTTATTTTTAATGTAAATCCGAGTTTATTTGTTACTATCTTATATGTCTATTTGAATTGAGAAAAACGTTTTACATAGATCCATTTGTAGCCCATTAGATACTCAAAATAGACAATTTTTAAATGTCCAGAAAAGTAACACTGAACATCTTTAGCATATTCTAAAAATGTCTAAAAATATAATCTGAACATTTTAAATATGTACAAAACGTCCAATATCTATGTTTTTAATATATTTTTAAAAACATCATTGTGCTATCTGGAAAGAAAATATTTGACAATTTTTACATAGGAAATCTTTAAAAATGTTTTAAATTGTGATAGAATATGTCGAAAAACTGAAAAGAAAATATGTATTTATTTGAACGTTTCAGAAACAAAAAGTAATGAGCTAGAATTTTTCACACGTACTTGAAATTAGAGATACAAAATATTCACCTGTTATGCAAATGCGATTCACATAAATACTTTCCTGCTTGTAAATACACACTTAACAATAACCTCATAAATACACGCTGACATCTAACAAATGGTTTAGGAAATATGCACGTGGTCCGTCTCACCTACACGGTTTATCTTCCCTCGACTTACCCTATATATATATATATATATATGTATATTTATTACGCAATAAACATCCACCGTAATGCTCCTAGGATCTTTCAAAACTTTGCATAGTTTGTAACTAAAAGAACCTTAATCTCATTATTATTAAATGTTTACTTCACGCCAGTCGAAGATGACGTTATCTTCAGAATTCTCAATATCGAGAATATACGTGTATTGCGAGAAAAACTCTAAGTGCCTCGGTGGCCGAATTAGGAAGGCGACGGCACGGTAAGCCGGAGATTCCCGGTTCGACTTCTGGTCAAGGAATGTTTTTCGCACTATTTTAAAATTAGTTAGAGGGGAAAACGGGGATACCTTATATACGTGATGCAAGCACAGCATCCTATATGAATTTATAAATTGAAATTTCGTTTCAAATTCATGTGTATAAATCTACACGTAAAGTATAATATAAAATATATATGCATGTATATATATATTTATTTATTATTCCGCAATAAACATCAGCGTAAGGCTCCTAGAACCTTTCAAAACTTTGCATAGTTTATAACTAGAAGAGCCTTAATCTCATTATTATTAATTGTTAAATATTTTTTTTATTTTACAGTTAAACACAACATTTTATATCGATATTTTGAAAGAAATTAAAGTTACTTTATTTAATCATTGGGAGAGAATATTCTGTTCACTTTTTGTTGTTTATATAAAACCGTTGACATCATCTCACAATGATCAATATTGTATTGATATTTAAAAAAACAAAAATAAAACAGGTTTATATAATGATGCGTAAATAATAATAAATATGATATTTATTTTATCATCTTAAAATAATTACTAAAATGTAATGCTGAGAGAGTAAAGAACGAATCTGTGCGATTACTCGGAATATGTAAGTACCTTGTAAGAGATATCACATGTTGTATTATTGTAGAGTACTATAAAATGTTACGATCTTAATAACGTATTAAAAGAAAGAATATTCACTAAAAAAAAGCTCGTTGAGTTTTATGTTTATATTTTTGTACAAGTACGATTTTAAGGCCGTTCATAATATATGTACACAGCCGCGCGACTAGAAACTCTATCATAAAAACGCCTTAAAATTCAACTTGATCGATTTTTTTCACACAATCTCAATACTCAATGGGTGCTAAATAGCTTGAGTTTAACAGAGTTTGCTAATTGACATACAAAAATAAAAATTAAAAAAAAAAGAAACGCTTTGCAAGTGTTGTGTTTGCAACTGCAATTGCGCTGAAGGAATTTTGGCGTTTTACATAATGATATTGATCATTAAAGCCTTCCAAGACCGGAAATTTCAATATGTAATCAAAATAAAAAATCGAAAAAAATTACAACTTTACTTAACTTTTTGCAACGTGATAATACTTTTCTTTTATTAAGATACTTCTAGAAAAGAATTTATTTTATAACATTTTTGTGAAAACTTTTTTTCAACACTATACTTAAATTTTCACGACCTTTTAATATCACACATTGCTTTTTAAAGAAATAAAGTATGCACATTCAGTACATATTATGAATTTTATATTGAATTTTTAATATCAAACAGAAGATATAAATTGACGAACAACTTCATTTTTAGTGCTAATCTCGCACATCAACAGATAAAATGTATGTTTCTAAAAATACTGACATATTGACATAGACAAAATTGATTACAAACACGTATAAACGCAAAACACGTATTCAATCTAATTAAAAAGAATGCGTAAAACAAAAAAGAAAAAAAGAAAATAATTTTTTAGACCAAAGCATTTTTTAGTCTGTGATATAACGAGAGATATATTTGCGTTAAAATGAGAGAGAGAGAGAGAGAGAGGAAGAGAGAGAGAGAGAGAGAGAGAGAGAGAGAGAGAGAGAGAGAGAGAGAGAGNGAGAGAGAGAGAGAGAGAGAGAGAGAGAGAGAGAGTGTGTGTGTGTGTGTGTGTGTGTGTGTGTGCGCGCGCGTGTGTGTGTAGAGTACTCACTAAGTTTGTTATTTATTCTTTGTAAAAGCTTTGAAAGAGTAAACATGAAGAGAAATGATTTTTCTACCGTTTCCTCTGATATAGGAAGAAATTAAAGTTGACGATTTCTATAGAGAGAGAAAATCTTATAACTGAATCAGATAAAACAGCATTCTTTATTGAAAAAATAATTGAAAGAAAAATATTTGTGTTTGTAATGAACACAAAAAAAAGTTCTATTACAATAAAAGCTAAATAAAAAGCAACTAATTGATTTTAATATAATTAAACATTTCATCTGGAAATATTAATCTTATAATTCAAAGCAGTAATTATTTATGACTAAACAAAAAATAACTGAAAAAGTAGTGATATTAAAACTTTTATTTTTATACAATAAAAGTCGATTTCTCATCTTCTTTCAATTTTATTCTACATAAAAGAATTGCTGTCAGCAGGAAATTTATTTATATTCGATATAAAAATTTACTTCTTATGGGCACACTTAAGTTGTGTTCATCTAGAATAGAAAAAAAGGCAGATTAATTATATTGTAGGTTTAAAATAACATTTTATAATAACGTTATATATATATGTATAAAAATAAGATACATTTTGTAGCGCATAGTGTCTTTAAACATAATGATGGATAGTGTAATTCTACAGTTGCTTTAAAAGAAAAAGACAGAACACCGGAAAGAATACTTAGAAGAAAGACAGGAATAACACTGAGAAGAGTAATAAAATTTTATTTATCAGAAAAAATATTAAGACAGAAACAGAATTAGATAGATTACGAATTAGTAAAAATGAATTGGTAAAAACAAAAGAGGGACACACACTAGATATTTCATGTCAATGATCTCTAACAAACATATCTAGAAAGATTAGAATTTTATGTCAAACAGAAAGAAAAAAACACAAATTAGTTTTCTTTATTATTGTCGTGCGTAGCTGCAACTGATAATTGCAATCAACCGTGCGAGCCGCAACGACAAAAAAGAATCCGTCTTTAGAAGGTACCTTAAAGAAGCAACTACCTTCGGCGATTATACACAAAAAATGTTAAACTTATATATGTACATATATATATATATTATATGTATAGAGGCACACACAATACACACACAGTACATAAAATTCTGCGCATATGTAAATTACATACAACAGCACATGCATACAAACGAATATTATACACTATTACTATGAGATAGCACGCAGTATCGAATAAAATGAAATATGATCTACTAGAAACGTTGATTTATTGCGCAAACAAAAAGAAAACACCTTCCAGTTAAAAGCTTGCAACTTTTAAGTTTGCAGTGCCAACTTTATATCGTTGTGTTGCACCGATTGCTTTCAGCACCGCTGCATACACGACAGCAAACAGATAAATACAGCAGATAATACAGCAAGCAAAAATGCGTATCGCTAGCTTCATTCTAATTTTTATATGATTTAAAAATAGAAGTCTATTATATAATGAAATTTAATATTAATAAATTTTACTATGATATTTACCGTAACTCGATATATATAGTGTTACAATACAAGTTGCAGTTGTTTATGAAAGGTCTGAATTTGTCGCAACAATGCAGTCAATTGTATAGCAGCTGGCTGCTTCCGGGTTACACTAAAAATTTTTCTTTCGTCGAAAATTTCCGTCGAATTTATCGATTGCAATTTATCAGATAAAATTGATATGGGAAAAGGAGTTTTGCAAGAAATGTCTTTGGCTAACTCTGTGCAAACGGGGCTGTTCTGTTTGCGCAACATATTCACTTGTTGCTTCAGCACCATCACCTGTTTTTGCAATATGTTAAGAATTATGTGAAATGCATTAGTGATATACATATATATATACGTGAAACGATTTTTACTTCTTTGCAAAGGCCAATCATTGCATTAATTTCTTTTTCTTTTACATTGAGTTCTTTTTCTAAGACAGATAGCTTCTTTGCTACAGATTTGTCGTTAGACTTTTCCACTTCTGATAGCAGTTTTTCGTATTTTCTATAAATCAAAAGATATAATAAAAATGTGTGTTTTCTAACAATTTTCAGGTTTTAGATTTTAAAATTTAATTTGCCTATATATTTACTTGTTCATTTCTTCAAACTGATTGTAAATATTTGTCAAAATATCACGTATTTCTTTAGAATTACGCGAGACAGAAATGTGCGCATTATAATTGCCGATTTTGTACTGCAAAATATGCATCATATCATTATACATATATACAATGTTTAACTTACTAAAAATTGCTGAAATATACGACAATACGACTGTTCCATTAATATTTTCGAAATTTACCTTATTTACAACTTTTCCGGAAATATCTCTCTGATCTTTTGTATATACCGGTAAGTTAAGTATGTTTATAATAGAAGAAAATTGTCGTTTAATCTTATGCTCATCTTTTTCCTCTTTAGAGAGCTGTTTAGCATTATTGTTATCTTTTTCAGAAAGCAGTTTTGCGTTGTCAGAGATATTTGGTACACAAACATTTTGCGTTTTTTCTACATTTTGTAAATTAAGTATAGAAAAGTTTTTATCTTTGCTCATGTTTAGGTTTACTTTATTATTAAAAGTTTTACTTATTTGCTGGTTTGAGTTAAAAAACAAATTTTCACATTGATCATTTATTTGCTCCAAACAATTCAATACTGGATTCATACTCTTACCAACTTTCTGAATCAGCAATGGAGCAATATCGTTCGCTAGTGGCTGCCTCATCTTTATTACATTCAATACCTGTCTCGATTTTAGAAAAAAAATATTAAGAACAGCAATAATTTTTCTTGTTTTTGTAAGTGACTTACTTGTTGAATATTTAGTCCAAGATTATGACTCGGTGTTACCGAAGTTCCTACTACAAAAGGAATGTTCCGGAAGTTAAATTTGCTAAAATATGACTTATTTGAACGTTTTAATCTCGACGCTAAAGTTGGCATTTCATAGCTAGGTGTAAAAGTCGGATCGTTAAATCTGTTAAATACTGCATTTTCATATTGATGCAGTTTGCTTTTTTGTATCGATGGAGAAGACTTAATAGAAGACTTCTTGAATTTACCTTGTTGCTGAACATTCTCAGAAATTACTCTATAAAAAAGTTTATTAGAACGTCACAACAAAGAGTGAGACAATTTTTATTTTTATCTTCTATTACTGTAATTATGAATATTATTATTGTAAAAATGCAGAAAATTACCTTACATTATTTTGATTGCTCAATAAATGCAACTGTTGATTTTCTGAATTATAACATTGATTTTTATGATCACTTTGTTCAGAAGGCAATTGGTCTTGAATCTTTTGATTAACGTTAATATTAAAATTATGCTGTTTTTTTATCGTCTTTGCTTGTCTATTAAATTTAGAATATTTACTGGATAATTCAGAATTACTACTCTTTAATGTAGTATTATCAAAAATTTCTACAATTTCTTGTGTCTTTTTTGAATGTTTTATAGGAATAGACTGTGGATGAATAACATTATGATTCATAGTAAAATGTCGTACTAAAAAAATGTAAAGCAAAGAATGTACTTCTAACGGAAATATACTTTTTCACAAGATAAGTTACACGCAAATTTAATTTTACTTTTACGTCTGTGTCTTTTTACGTTTTTTCTATTTGTAAAACTTGTATTCTTGGTAACTGTGCTTTTGGAAACAAAACTTTGTAACTTTCCTTTCCTCTTTCGTGCTCTAGACATCGTAGTGATTGTTTTACAGACCGAACTTATATCATTTCTTTCTATTTTTGTGCAATTGGTACTTCTTGTTCGTCGGGTTTTCGCGACATTTGTAATGTTCATATTCAATTCTGGAACTTTAATATCTGTCTGCACAAAACTTGGTCTTATAGCCTGAGCACAAAAATTGTTGTAATTATTGTAATTATTGCTAATAATTGAATAACTCTCGTGTTGTAAATATAAATTAGAAAAAATAATAAAGGTCAATTGGAGCCAAATCAAAATTTGAATAATAAAAAAACTATATTTTTATATAGTTATTTTTCATATTCGAAAGAACTGCAAAATATTTCGACCTGGAATTTTCTTCAGTCGCAAATATATAATACAATAATTAAAGTAAAATATTAATTAGTAAAGATGTCAAAAACAAGAAGCAGTCGCAATATAAAAGTGTAACGCAACTTAAAAGTAGTAGTTGATAGTCATCCATGTAAAAAATGTGTTAAATCCGGAACGTAAGTAGTCCGTAAAATATGTTAAAAAAGTGTAATTACCATTTAGATGACAACCTATAATGATACAGTAAGAAGGAGTACTTAGCCAAAGTAATTGTACCACAAAAATAAATTTCACAAATAATTTACTTAGAACCACACAGTCAGATGTTGGAGTCGGAGATAAGAAGGAAGAGATTTATACAAGTATTCCCTCCAAAGAGATTGTTTATCGGGGTAAGCTTAACGGTGCAAACAATTCAATAAATTGAAGTGTCAAATAATTCTAAATCGTTAACAGAATTCAAATCGTGTGACTGTTGCTTTATGTGGATCATCTCGGAAATCAATCTTTTATAATAATTAGGTTCACGATCTAAATTCTGAACATTTTTCTAATTGAAAGAATGATTGAGATCCGTCCTGTGTTTTGAAATTACTGACAGTTGGGAAGAATCACGTTTGATATTGTTAATATATCCTTTAAGTCTTGTTTTTAATTGCCTCTTAGGGTCGTATTCATAGTCCGTACTTATTTTTAAGATTGCCGTAAGTTTAGTCTTAAGACGCTCTCTAGATTCATAGTCAAAAATAAGACGGAACTTGAGCAAACGTTTTAAGGAATATCTTGGTCAAGATGATCTTATTTAGATGCGTCTTAATATGACTCATAAATCTATTTAAGCATGAGATTGAGATTACCTTATTCATCATAAATTCATAGTCATTAAAGGCTTTTTTCACGCATACACTGACAAATAANACGATCTTCGCCAAGACATGTCCGAAGACGTCTTAAACAACAGCTTTTGTTGGAACAGTTATTACTCATATGCATGTGCTTTGACGTTTACAAAGAAATAAATAAATCTGTAATAATAAATAATTTCCTTTTGCTTGAAGACGTTTCTTTTGCCTGTGTATCAGCCTTTATCACATATTCTTGTTTATTTGTACATGACATGTTACACGAGATGATCGTTTACGTATTTGTGCTGCTGTTGTGTACTTATTCATTTTTTATTATTTGACTTTATAATTTTTAGTTACAATTTTGACATAATTTATTATGTTTGACTTTGTTTACATAATTAATTTTGGTTTCCTGAAATTATTTTTCGATTTGACTTTTTTTGTTTGATGACATAAAGTAGCGTGCAATTGTTTTGAAGGTGTGTATAAGCTTTTGATTTTCACCCTATCATACTTTGTTAACTTAAGTTTTACGTGTTTTATACTGATAATTAATTCTTTGTTAATTTAGTGGCTGATGATGATCGGAAAGTAATAAACAACAATCAAAACGTCCCAAGAATAAAGCGGATTTTTATTTTAACTACCATCGATAAAAGGCTAGTTTGATCTATTTTATTTAATAATAAATGAGTCTCTGGCATTCTTTTTCTAAAAGGAAGTGATCTATAAAGTTAGTGTTTCTTCTTGCTATAGATCTCTGGCTGTGAGTATGGTGAGTACAGTGAATATCGGAACGCTTCCAAAAACGTTTAATAGTAGTCACGACTAATAATATTAAACTAGATAGTATAACTACTTTATAAAAGTGAACCAATATTTCTATTTGAGGATCCAACGGAAATATTACGGAAATAACCGAATCATAAATAACCATTGTCTTAAGCACATCTTCGTAAAGACAATCTTATATCAAATAAGAATTACTCAAAGAAGAATTTCTCGACGAAGATCACCTTATATTGCGACTGTAAATCATATTGTTCTTGAGATGATCTTAATTAAATAAGACCATTTTCACCGAGACAGTCTTAAGCATTACCTTGAGCTTCGACTATGAATACAGCCCTTAGTCTGCCCAACATAACACGCCGAACAATCGATGCGATTGATTTTATATACACTATTTGTGTTGGAATTATGATCAGTTTTATTCTTGTGTCTTAATTTAATTGTTAAGTTCGTTAAAACATTTATATCCGGTCAAGAAGTCAGTATTTTTAAACATTTCACATATTGTCTCAAAGAGATTTTTAATGTAAGGAAGAGTGATTATTTTTCTCTCATCAGCACAGGATCCTCTGCATTTAGTTGTTCATTTTATTGTAAAAAAGTTTTTTTAGTCTGACATTTGTAATATTAAAAATTAAGTTTAGAGAGTTTTTTAATAGAATGTTAATGATAAAAAGAATATTTTTTTCATGGAAGTTCGGATGAGAAAGCAATATAGCTCTGTCAACAAGACTACAAATTGTACCTTTTTGTGATACATTGGATGATATAAAAAAAAGAAGATATCTTCCTGAGAAAGTATCTTTGTGATACCAATCAATCTTCAGACTATCCTGAACAACTTTCAAAAAGGTCTAAGAATACGATACAGCGGTTCTTTTTTATCTTGACAGTAAATTTTATCTTTTCGTAAAAAGAATTAAAAACTTTTATAATGTTTAAATAAAAAAACATAAGGAAATGGCAATAATAAGCTACCACCAGATGTTCAAGTACAATTCTTTTATAATTCAAAGTTTTAAAAAGTTTTTACAAACGTTTCGATCCACTATGGGATCTTCTTTAGTGTTTTAATAAAAACTTACAAAAAAATAATGATTTATTCAAGATTATGAAAAATATGGATAAAAAAGGATACGTTACATAGATATTCAGTATGAGAAAAAGAGAGGCAGAAATGGCAGTTATGTAACCGTCAGTATTACTCAACAGGACGCAAAACGTCCTCCCGCTTCGAATGTAACTGACAGAGTTTGTCATCATCTGATGTTAGCTTGTTATTGCCATTTTATTATTTCTTTTTATTTAAATATTCAACGAGCTGAAAACATATAATTTTATAATGTTGTTAACTTCATGAGCCCGTGTTGCTAAGACAATGTCAACATAACTGTAGAAAAGTAGGTATACTATAATTCTGTTTAAAGCTTTATTTTCAATGACCTGAACGATATCTGTAATTATAGGAGGTAATGGTGAACCTATGAGGATACTATAAGTTTGCTTGTAGACGACGTTGTCAAAGACAAAATGGGTTTGTTTTATTTCTCTGCATTGGCTGCACAGTCTATCTTTTACCTTCTAATATGAATAAAAAAAGATAGACTGTAAACTAGTGTGCAGCCAGTGCAGGAAATAAAACAAACCTAATAAGTTGATGAGAGGACAAAAGACACCGTAGTTAAAAATTCACTCATCGGAATGTTGGTATTCTATTCTATATAATGCCATTTATTGTTCAAGCCGTTGATAGCTAAATCGATAGATATGGTAGTGAAATAAAGAGATTACATCGAAAGAGAGAGAGAGAGAGAAAGAGAGAGAGAGAGAGAGAGAGAGAGAGAGAGAGAGAAGAATGTCAGTTTTGCTAATTTTGACTTTCAAGAGATTGTTATATAAAAAAAAATATTCATGGTATTCCTTCTAGCTGGACGAAGATTACTTGTAATAATTTTGTGTAAAAAATTAGCAAAAAAATAGAGTGAGCTGTTGATAGAGAAGACAATGATTCTGAGAGAAACGTTTTTCTAGTAGATTTTGGGAAGGCCATAAGCCTTAGGTAACAATTTATCACTAAATCTAACAAGGATAGACTACGACGTTGTACCAATCGATTTGAACGACATTTATAGGATCGATAGATGACTATGTGAAGTATTGCAAAGTAAAGTAATAAGACGCACTACTCAAGCATTTGGGAGAAAATTGAATTTGAAAATTTCGAGTTACTTTATAAGAATATTAAATAGATCGTTTAATCAAAGAGCGCGTACCGTAGCGGTAGCCTACTACAGTCTGGCTAACAAGAGCGTGTACGGCAAAAATTTTTCTAGGAAACCGTTAGAGCGGTTGTGTAAACACGAGCAGATAGTGAGACCTCCCTCCGTTTTGCTTTGTATAGAGAAATTTAGTTTTGTTTGATTTTTGTCGGAGAAGAACGTTTTTCACAATGAGTGCCACGTACAAATCACGTTACAAAACCGTGTTCTTGTGTTCTCATCCGAAAAGGCCAAAAATGTCATACGCAGCGACTGCTAAATACATGAAGAAGTCAAAGACATATGTTAGCAAGTGGGTGAAACGGTATTCTGAGGTAGGAAATGTTGATGACCTGGAGAATCGTGGCTCCGCGCAAAAAACGACGAAAAAGGAAGATAAGATGATCTTACAGGTATTTGAGAAGAATTCTCAGCTATCATTGCGTCATGGACAAGCAATTCTGCGCAAAAAGGGTTTAAATGTGTCATGCGAGACTATAAGAAAACGTTTGCTGGTCATGAAGTGAAATTTCGCAGCACAATAAAGAAACCGCTACTAACCGAAAAACACGTTTAAAAAAGACTCATTTGGGCGAAGGAAAATTTGGACCGTGATTGGGACAACGTAATTTTTTTCAACGAAGCTTCTTTTTGGGCATGTACTTCTATTCCTCGTACATGGTGCACCCATGCCAATAGATCCATCCAGCGGACCGTCAAACACCCGGTAAAAGTGCACGTTTGGGGCTGTTTCTCAAAACAAGGATTTGGCACTTTGTACATGTTTACAGAGAATTTGAACGCTACTAAAATGATCGAAATATACCAGAAGGCTTTATTACTATCTGCCCAAAGGTGGTTTACAAGGAAAAACACAGACTGGCTACTACAAAAAGACAATGATCCAAAACATTGGAGTCTCCTTTGTATTACGTGAAAACAAGAAAATAACGTTGATGTAGATTGGCCATCGCAGTCGCCGGATGCGTTGTAAGATGTTGGAGACATTGTAAGTTGTAAGATGTTGGTGACATGTTCTAGAAGGTTAGTTTTAGAAATGTTTAAGAACTATTTACTGTTGGTTGACATTGTAGGATTCGCAGGGATTTTGTCTGCAAACGTAGAAGAAGAGATATATACAAATGTGATTTTATCATTAACTCATGTGGTTTTTTCATTGTTCTCCTTTCTATATTGGTAAAACCTATTAACCAAGTAACTGGCACGGCTTTTTTTTACTATTCATGCCCGAACTGGTAACATCAAAAAAGTAAGTGAATCCCACAAGATTTAGTATACAAGGGTTGTTTGAGTCGCTAAATCAATTCCGGAGGTTATTTTTTTGATCTGACATTCCCCAACCTCTAAAAAATAGAATTTAGGAATGAGTTTTTTCAATTCTTTACTAAACCTTTTTTTTGTTCTGTCGCTTTTATTGCGGGATGAATAGGGATTTAGGGGGTAAATTTTTTAGTTTTTTCATTTTCTGTGAAACAGTTTTGAATAATTTTATATCTGAATTCTTCATCCATAAATTCCACCGCAAGAGGTTTTGAAAATCTGATTTCAGATTTGACAGCCATTTTGATTCTGCCATATTGAAATTTAAAATTCCAATGCCAAATTTAGATTCAGCGATCTCAAAAGCTCTATATACAATTTTTCTAAATCTCGATAATATTTTAATATTTGGCAGCCATTTTGGGTCGGCCATTTTGAGNCTGCCATATTGAATTTTACAATTCCAATGCCAACTTTAGACTCAGCGACCTCAAAAACCATTACATACCAAGCTTCATTCAAATTTGAAAATCAAGAAAGTTATTTCATTTCATCATATATGATATATAAGCAGAATTGGCCAGACTTTTTTTTGATCATATATGATACATTGCCAGTTAACCGGTTAATGGTATTATAATTTGTTTTGTCCAGAGAACAATAATATTTAATAGGAGAATTGTTTTTTTAAGTCTTCATAATAGATAGTTTTCTGAGCCGTGACAGTTTTTCCTTCTTATTAAAAACGAAGTTTTCTATA